TGTATCTTTGTTAGGTCGGAAACTTTTCAGACCACCCTCGTACATGTGCGCGGGTGTTCGTCGGCGCCACGCATGACCTGCATCCCTCGGAAATCATCGCGCCCCTTTGTTTTCAGATGCGCGGATCTCGTTACGGATCTTGATTCCGGCGAACGTTTCTGGAGACGCGTCGACTTCGCGAGCGGGCTCTTCGGAGCGGAGACGCGACGAAAAGTGATGAATCGAATGAATGGATAGATTACGTGGTGCACGGCTGCGTGACAAATATTTACGATAATCGACAGCTCAAAGTGTCAAACCCTCCTCCCTTGAAATTTGTTATCATTTTCGTTTCCTCAATTCATTTTACTTTTGTTATGTAGAAGCATTTGTAATTTTGTGAAACAAGTACGACGCAAACTTTGCAGAAAAGTCAATATTTCGTAAAGTTTGGTAAAGTTTTCGACTACGCGGCATCCCCTTAAATGATATCTCGCGTTCACGATTGAGTGAATCCTTCGACCGCCTATATTTAATCGTACCCTCTAAATTTCTTGAAGTGGAATCTCAATCAAAACGAAAGTGGCAGTTTCGAAGCGATAGTGAAAATACTGTTGCTTAAAATCGCATGGGTGAAAGTATTTCTTAGAGTAGATTCTGACTCCATATAAGCGGATGTTTCGAACAATTAGAGTGAAAATGTTTCTGCGGGGATAGAACGAATCATAGATTCACTTTTCAATTTCGAGTGTGAACTGAATTCACGATTCAGAGTGGAGAATTCACTCTGTACGAATGAAAAGCCACTCGAATGCGACTCGGTGATCGCTCCGTTTTTTGAGTGAAATTTCACCCCGAGAAATTTAGAGAGTATACTGCGCGTTTTCACGTTTTTTTACGCTTCATGTTTGACAATAATAGAAGTGGACGATCTGCCAGGTACTCGTGGTAATACTTTCTAACCTTTTAAAGCACAGAACCTTCAAGATTTTAGTTCTAATAAAATATTCATGTCACATGTCTAGAATGACAATCCAAGAGATCATCCCTCTTGAAACTAATTTTTTTCCTATTTTCCTATTTTTACAGAATAAACGCGCAAACTGAAGCGAATACTACGAACAACACAAAAAACCGGTGGAGTGCATTACTATGCACTAACCTAACCTAGACTAAGCGGTGATTTCGTTGCGAGATTACTATGCTAGAAGCTACGATTTGGTTCTAATAGGTAAAACCATTATGCTCCAAAGAGTCTAACATCGCACCGCGTACAGTCATATCTTTTGGGAGTATACTCTCTTAAAGTGAATCAGTGAATCAGTCGCTGATATCAGTTATAAATATAGCACTGAGCAGTTTCAGTGCTGTACTTATAGCTATAAATCAGTGTATATTTACTGCTTTCAATGATTCACTTTAAGAGAGTATAGTGCAATCTAGGTCTGTAAAACCCGGGCAGATGTTGAAGTTACTACCATAACTTCGTTGTGAAAATGAATATTTTTCAGCATATTTTTTCCACAGAAATATAGAGAAGCTTTAGCTATGAGACAGTAGCGCAATAAAATTCGCGCAAATAGATTTGCGCTGTTCCCTGAAATGTTCCCGAACCCTTTTACGAGAGTCGGTGAGCGATTGAATATCCGCTCGGGTGTCACAGACCCAACGTTGTACGCGGAGGATTGAATCCCCTATTCGCGTTCCCTCGGAATAATAATTTTTCCTTTATTCACGTAGACAATGCGCTCGTGTGACAAACTGCAGCCCGCGCTTTTTTCACGCGAGTCGCGTCTCGCGCCTTATGCCTCTCATTATTATCGCGACACGTTTTCTCCGCGTGCGATGCGTCGCCGAGTGCTCAAAGGTTCTTGCGAGCTTGGCGGGCGAAGAGGAAGGCTGCGGAGGAATGGGAAAACGCGCGTATACTATACCGCACGACGAAATCGAGACGGAAAATCATCACTCGACGTTGCTCGCTCGAGCGAAACCGTGAAAACCTCATCCCGTACGGATATCAAACGCGAGCTCGGCTCGTGGAAAAACGAAATCCGACAATGGCGACCTGTCCCCCGTCGTTGTGCCTTTTACCGGCGCGGCATGAATGAGAGACTGCCAGAGGAACACGACACGAAACAAAGGACCGCGTTCAATTTCGCAGAGAGCACCGAGCGGAGGTAAGGAGGTTTAAACGAAGTTAGAGATTCGATCTTTTTCCTCGGTATTCGATTCTCTCTCTTTCTCTCTCTTCAGCAAACCGACCGGTCCGGTCACACAATGCTTGGCGTTGAGTAGATGGCTTTCCGGGTCGATTGCCGTCGCTTTTTTCTCGGTACAGCGCGCGCGCACGTGTCGTTTGCATTAGCCGGGATGATCGAGGACTCGGCGGGCGACTCGGTGGACTTCAGCGAGCTGATTTCTCCATGTTTCGGACGTGTTACGGCTTTTTTCAGGCATCGGGTCAGCCAATCTTCCACCCTGCCCGACGGCAAATGCCGTCGGAACGTTGAAGGATCATTAACAACGAGGGCGATCACTTTCGACGAGTAAGAGAAAAGTGCCAATGCTCCCGAACACGTAGGATAAAAACACCTCCATTTATTGATCTCCTTCACGGTCATTGGCACTCTAGAAAAACCTGAATTCTCTCGGCGATCAGCGACAGTTGTTCGTACTTTCAGCTTGCAGAGCGTCCTCCTTTTGAGAAAAATTCTACTGAACATCTACAGCATATGTAACGTCAACAACTGTAGATTTTTAGTGAAATTTTCCTCAAATAGGATGCGTTTTGGAGGGCAACGAACGAAGCTCTCTTTTGGAGCAACAAGTTTAACTGCAATGCAACGTTGGTCACGAGAGAAACCAGGTTTTTTCTGAAATACTAATGGCTAAGGGGAAAATAATTAAGCGAGATTTCACTACGTTGTTCCTATCTTTAAGTGCGAATATTCAAACTTTCTGCATAAAAAAAAAAATATATATATATAAAATATCAAATATATAAAATATATATTCTATGTTAAAAATTTAAATATTCGTGTATTCAAAGACAAAACAACAAAAATGTTCGGGATCAGGTGCGCGCTCGGGAATTGGTATTTCTATCTTCATTCATCTTCATTGAATGCGATAGAATTGGATTTGACTCGAAAATCGAGCCAAACTTTTCGACTGAACTAGATTTTTTCCGGCGAAGAGGTGATTATCGAAGTATTCATCTGCAATCGCTTTGCGCACCCTCCACCTGAAGTTGAAACTGTTTACGACGGCTTACACCAGCCGCTTCGGCGGAAAATGCGCGCGGATAATGTCACATAAAAATTTCGACCGAATAATGCGCTCTCGCGCATTTTTACAAAATAAATACGCTGCCGTTCGGAATGCAAATGCGGGCGCTTTCGCATCGCGAAATATGAGGGTAGCATGGCGTTTTTTCTAAATGCAAATCTGTTTACATCTGCATCGCAAAATACTGAAATAATATTCTTGCGTGCCGCGCGCCCCATAGTACTACGAATTCGAAAATGTGAGTGCGCGCACTCACTCGCATTCCGAGCGCGTAATAAAGCTAGGAACACGACGCGCGATTTCATGCCTTCTGACAATCGCATCGCATGATTCCAGCTTAAAGGATTCAGACAGGATCCTGACAGAAGTAAAAATTAGATAAAGTTCGAAGAGAGTTGTAAAAAATTGTACACTAATAGGAGTATGAATTTCTTCTATTGCGTATGCCTATCAAGTAAGCATTTAACAATACCCTAGTATTTAAAAAAAAAACGGAAAAAAATTCATTAAAAAACTTTAAACGCTTAAAATAGCATTTTTTAAAAATCGTAATCATAACTTGAGAATGGTTTATTCGATTGTTAACGTTCGACACAAATGTTTACCATAATTGCCACGGTTTGCGGAGGCTTCCCGCAAATTTCAAAACCACTTTTCATTTATTTATTTTAAAAACTCGAATTTTTCATAACTCTCATTTTGCGAAATATTATTGTTTTTTCTCGTTTTTTTTATCGAAATCCGTTTCGATAACTATAACTCTAATGAATAAAGGAAATGCAGTGCTTATTTCAAGGCGCTCCTGTTGAGACTAAGGATATTTACCGTTGAAGAATTTGCAGATTCTTTTGCCAAACAGAATTGAAGTGACGTTAACGTTCGCCAAAAAATTGAATTCCTTTTTGTGCCAAAATATTGCGTTTAATACATTTAATAGACATTCATAAAAAAATGTATAGTCCTATTAACTTTTTACAAACCCCCAAATTTCATCGAATTTTTATTCCTGTCAGAATCCCGTAACTCTGAGACGCGAAATTACTTCGAGCGAGAATTAATTTAGACAAAGAGAAAGAAAGCGAAGGCAGGCGGAAAGTGGGGAGGGAAAGGGAATTATTATTTCGACACACAATACTGTTTCAACTTCGAACTTTAACGTCGAGCGCAGAGCTTCCAGAGCGTGCAGACTGCGCGCGAATTCACGCAATATTTAAACATCGTGACGCGAAGCTCCGTGTCGCAGAGTAACATTTAATAATTGACCCTAACGAAATGCAGCCATATTTCCAACGTTGAAATTAACTTTAACGGATGCGAGCGCGCGAATAATGTCCGATGACGAGGCCGGCGATGGCAACCTGAATCGCGATTCGATGCGCGAATCACAATTCACCCTTTTGCGGAGGGTTAAGCCGACCATTTCCGCGTAATTCTCAATATTTAATGAACACGCATCGAACATTGTTGTCGATTAACGCGTTCTGACCGTCGTTAAAATTCATCTCGCCGCAGTAGCGATCCCATAAATAAATCGATCGAATTGATGTCGCATCTCTGATGAAAAGGAACGTGATTTTCGTCCTTGCAAAATTGACAGCGCGCTCACACGCAGCACCGACCGGGTCGGTGGGGAATTGAGCGCGACTGAGAGCCAAAACGGCATGAATCCGATGGCGGAGTCGAGGCAACGCCCCGCAGAAGTCGCGTTAATGATAAAACGATCGGTCACTGACCTCCAGGAAATCCTTCACGGTGGCGTCGACGACCATGAGCGGCCGTTGTATCAGATGGACCACGCCGTTGCGCACCGGGATGTTTGCCTTCACTATTTCTGCCAGCACCACTCCGGTCGGGTGATTCGGGTCGCCCACTATTGTATTCGATTTGACGTAGACTGCAAATTGGACTATCGATTAGGACACCAGAATACACAGAGACTACTGTCGTAGAGCAGACGTGCCTCTTTTAGCCTCTTGCCGAAGATCACTTCGTCAAGCACGCATGTCAAGCTCGAAACCGTGTCAAAAGCGCGGCAATGAGTGATTTCATTTGCGATGCATAATAATAATATCTCGCTTGGTCGAGTATAAATTAAACCACGCCGTCACTCTAAGGGATCATGTATTAAATGGAACTAACTCGTCTGAGAGGAGAGAATACAAAAATTTAACAAAAATACTGAATAAATTATCAAGGCTGTTATATTCTGATCAGAAATTTATCCCACGGTCCTGGACGTAAAATGCGCTACGATATCGCGAGTGGCAGTCCCTTCGGGGATTGAACTCGAGAGCTCAACCCAACAGATCGATGTATGTAAACTTTACAGAGCAACTTTAAATATATTAAATCGCGAAATTCAGCAACGTTGAGTCCCTTGTGATTAGTCAGATTGCACTCATATTTATCGCACAGAATGAAGAATGAACGATAAAATACGAAAGAAATGATCAAAATTTGCCCCAAGCAATACGTTATAATAGATATAAAATGAAATACTGAATGTAACTTTTAGTAAATTTGTCGTTGCATCAACAAAAAATTCACATTATTGTGCATAATGTAATTTTAATAACAAATATATTTATCTTATCTATATTTAATTAAATTCTATATTTACTTCGTAAATGTAATTTAAAAAATTGTAATTGTTTCCATCACATGGATCGTCTGACGTCGCGGTAATCATGAAGGTTTATCTGGGCAGAGTGGTGTTCTCGTTCTTACCTTTATTATGCGCTTGCAGAAAGCTGATGGTGACTTTGAGATTCTCGGAGAATACGAGGGCCGGATGGGGCACGTTGTCCGGCGTCGGCGCGGTGAAGAGGACATGGTTGGGTATGACGTGACCGTCGATCACCAGCGAATCGATCTTCTGCGGCCGCGGTTCCGGCTGGAACAGAGAGACGGGACATCGTCCTCGTGAGGATCGCGTGAGAGCACGTCGACGATTTGACCCGGCTTGCGAAAACGACGCGATTTTCACGCGAGAAGCGCGCACGAGCGCATAACGAGTCCCATATTTTCCGCAAGTGATCCGCGACGTTCTGGCGGCTTGTGCGCGCATTGTGTGCACGTCGCACCTCCTTGTTACCGGATACACGCATCCTTTCAGCGAACTCGGACCCAGCACAAAGGCGCGGCGACCACGTCGTCATAGCAACTCGATTTCCGTGCGCACTCACGAACTTTAAATCCTATCCTTACGCGGCGACGAAAGTCGCCGTCGACGAGAAGCGCGCGCGCAGACCCCCGATATCGGCCCGTGGGGTTCCCTACGAAGCGATGACCTCGTTGGGACGAACAACTTTTCGGGATCGAGTCGCGCGCGCGCCCCTGTCGTTACAACACCCTTCGCCGCTCTCGCCCACCCTCGTGTGCGCCCTCGCGTTCGCGTGTTTTTTCCTCGCTTTTCCGTTCGAACCCAAGTCCGGTATTGCCGCGTATGTAGAGGCGCGAAACTTCCGGTAATTTCTGACGGGATGGCTCGTTTACCCACCCGGCTCCGGCTTTTACGCTTCAAGTTGGATTACGCGCCGGCGAGCGGGCGCGCGTGAAGGTGTCCATTGTGTATATGGGCGAGCGCGGCGTTGAAAATCGGGGGAAAAAGCGGAATTCCGCGCCGAAGTGTAGCGATGCGGGCATAATAAAATCCGAGGGAGGTGTGTGGGACGCGAGAGTTCGCGTACAAACGAGATTCATGATTTTTAATTGTTTTCGCGTCCGTCGAGAGTTAATGGGCATTTCTTGAATAAAAAAAAAAGAGAGGAGGGAGAGTGAAGGAGGGAAAGAGAGAGAGAGAGAGAGAAAGGGGGAGGAAGAGAGGGAAAGATAGAGAGAGAGAGAGAGAAAAGAGAAACCAAATTAAAAATTTTAACGCTGTAAAATTTGCAACGCGGCGAGTTCCGGCGAAAAGCTCGCGGGACAAAGGGAAGTTGTAGCTGACGCGTAACTACTCGGCAACAATTTTCCGCGCTGCTTGTTTTGCCCACTTTCGGAAAAGCGATAAAGGCGGATACGAAATTTTCACGGTTTACTCCGATTTCAAGGGAGCTAATCGAATCGGGAATGCCGGGAATGCGCGAGAATTTCCGGGCGGACGAATTTTTCCGCGTCGCGTCGCGGCATGGCGCGATCGAGCCTTCATAAGGATTTCACAAGCTTCTGCATAGTAACGCTCCGAGGGGAACATCGCGCGCACGCGGCGAACGGCGGTTCAACGTTAAGATGGATTTGCACACGACGTCACGAATGTCGCACTTGTAACGCGACGTTTGGAACGTCTAAATGCCACGCGTGTATCTGCACGGAATAATTTACACCCGCTGGTAAAATGTCACGGCGCATGTAACGCCGCTGCGACACGATGCTCCGTACGGGACGTTTTGAATGCGAGCGTAAATCCTGCAGTGTCTGAGAGCCGCTATCGCCATGTCGCGTAATTATTTCAAAGTGCGTCCCCTTTCCCCCTTCTTCTCACCTATATTACGCGCGAATATCGCGAAAGGCTTCTTAATCCTCGAGCTTGCCGCACGTTAGATTTCAAGATCGAACGTAAAGCGTTGGACCGATCATCGCACAGAGACAAAAATGTGGTCTGGTGTTTGTAACTATAATCGCGTAGAGAAACAATTACTGCACATGGTGGTTAAGGAAACTATTTTTTATGAAATTCTGCTATAATGTTGATGATGGTGATTTTTAATGATGTACATTACTACTATTTTTTTGTAGAGACGACCAAAAAATATGGTTGGGACCAAAAATAACTATAATTTCAGTTGGATCAACCATCTTTTTTTCTCTCAATGCGTTGACAAATCAGTCGTAAAACATTCAACGTTGGTGTTTGTCGGTGAAACACTCAGTTACCGTCATCCCGTAGTCATTAACACTCTAACTGAGCAACCTAGTTTTTCTTGTTAAGAAGGTAGAAACAATTCCGCAACAGCCCTATTATGAAGCCGTATTATGTATAATATAATTTTGTGAATGGAAGAATTGCAGTTGACCATTGCGATTAAAAGCTTCTGATCCCTGCATTTTATGATTCAAGAAAAGATCCCCGCGACTGAAACTGCGAACAACCGCCACTGATTTCGCAAGTTTCAAGAACGTCGGTGACTAGACGAGGATCAATAATAATTGCGTAATTCATCTTTTCCTTTCCGTGATCACTCGTGGATTCTCTTTAAACGAGCGCGCGCGTCCTCTCGATTATCCCGTGTCACTTCAAACGAGGTGCGACGCGATTGCCCGCGAAATCTCCTAAAAGGAGTCGCGGGGAAGGATATTAAAATCACTCACCCCCGAATGATCAATTCACGAAGGTTGCTAAGCCGCTTACCTTGAAACCCTCGTCAACGGGGATGAAGAAGGTATAACGTCCCTCGGCCTTAAAGATGCCCTCCTTCTTCTCGATGACGATCCGCTGTCGGAAGGTACTGCAAGAGCGACAGAAAAAGAAAAGAATGAAAAAAAATGAAAGAGGTTAATTATGTCGGCGCAACGACGCGCGACGCTGAAATGTCTGACGTTAATAAGACAAACGAGGAAAGTTCGTGCATCTATTTACGTTATTTAAATTATCCCGCCCTCTCGCTTTCTCTCTGTCCGCAAGTTTTTGTATTTATATTTAAATCAGAAACTGTGCGCATTTTAATTGGCAAAACGACGTGAATTGTACTCTGAGAGCGGCCGGTGATAACAATTTGACATGAAATATTTAAATTAAGCGTGCTGGAGTTATTTTAAGTACATCGAATATACGTTATAAATACATATGATATTGAGCAAATATTATTCATTTCCAGTGTTCCGTAAGTTTATATGTCGCAAATCTATCGTAAGTTCGTCACATAAATATTAAATTTATTCGAAATACATATCCTAAGTCATAGAAATTACAATCGGGAATGTTAAATTGAAAGAAAAATTCGGTTTGCTTGCTATATAAAATCAAACTAACTTTTTCTTCGATAAATTCTTATAATATTCTTGCAAGGAGAAGAAATTCTTTTTTTCCGTATGTATGATAATGAACTTTTCTAAAATCAGCGTACCGAGTATAATTTTAATAATAATAAAAATATTATTAATATATTATTAATATATATATATATATATATATATATTATTAATATTAATTATATTAATATATTATTAATATTAATTATTAATGTGAATAATTTTAAGACTACTATTAAGATTCTTTTTGTTGAAGATAATCATTATTTAGAAGAAGAAAAATTGAGCAAGCTTTTCTTAGCAACAGAATGACATTTTTTTGCATGTACGTGATATGAAACTCTTTTTCCTTAAAAATATCCGAAGGACTTTAAAAATTCGGATTCTAATAAAGTATTCATGTCTAGAATGACAAGCCGAGAGATCCTTTTAAAATGAATAGGTGATCTCACGGTGAAAGCACTGTGCACCGAAGGGTTAATCGAAAATAAAAAAATTCGAAATCGAATGTTTTACGGTGGAAGGAAAGATTCTTCAGGGAAGTGTCGCGAGAATTTAACGACCAAGATCGGAAAGTCTAATAGTAACGACGATCTCACGGAGCCTCGATGCAGCTCTCTCCGAGGACATCTCCGCGAAATGGTGCTATCAGAACGCGATATACGCGTTGAGGATGGATCTCTCCTCCGAGAGTCAAGGGCGCGAAAAACTTCCTTCCCACGCGTTCCCGCGCGATAAGCGTTCTCGTTACTCTTTCGGATTCGCCTGTTCTCGAAAACCGTCGTCGAACTCGCGTCTTGCAAATGCGCCGAGGTACTCTGGAACCCTTGGCACTCTGATTCACCGTAGTCGCGAATTACCGCGCGGCCCGAACATTCCCTCTCTATCTCTTATACTTACCGTACGCGATGGTCGCCCAAATTGAGATTCTCGCTCTGGTTCAAGAACTGAAAGGCGTTCGGGTTGTAGATCGGCGACTCCGCCGAATTGGATCGCACCGGCTCCAGCACTTCGTTTATAATGTGCAGAACCTGAAACACAGAACGGGACGCGAGAGGTTAGTTGGGAAGAACGATGACATCGAGATGCGGTACTCTTGGAGATCAATTTCTACGTATTGCGCGATGGATCACGAGGAGTCTCATGTTCACTGCACTGAAACCGGAGAGTCGAATCGCGATATTTTCCCCGTCCTCGTAAAAATGAGAAATAAATAAAACGACTGATGCATTAATACGCCACTAAATCAACACATCACGGTCATTTACAATCGTGTTTACATTTGCCCTTTTATTTTTATTGAGTATAAAAATTGATATTTTTGGAAATATAGCGAAAAATAAAACGTTTATTTCAATAAAAAGTGCGTGTGATGTATAATAGGAAAAATCGGGCACGCTCGCAGTCATCAGATAGGATTGATGAAATAACATGATAAAAATTTATGAAAAATCTAAATATGATATTGGAAAAATGCATTTGTATCGAGGATTCTCGCCCTAAGAGCTGCAATTATAAACATAGTGTATCATCAGCAAATATACTATACCTAAATCAAAGCGTTTACTCTGAGAGAAAAGGTCTCTAAGAAATAGAAAATATTTATTTGATGGGTATTAATAACGTATTTATATTTATATTAATATACAATATTTTTCTTTTTCCGACCTTCAATCTAATAAAATTTCAAGTTTCGCGGAATCTTGAGAACCTCTGATCCAACTAACGCGCGCGCGAGGACGAAGTTAATCTTGTCAAGTCGAACGATCCATGAATCCGACCCAGCGGGCTAAGACGAAGTGAGACAAACCGACGTCAAGCTCGGCGCGGAAGAACGCTCGTGGGAACGGGGACACGGTGAGAAAGAGAGACACCAGGGATGAAGCCCGAGGTGGCGGAAACGGAAGCGGATAAGCGGCCCAGAAAGAGAGCTCGGTAGGTGCACGTCGCGAGTATTTATCCTGCGGCGACGAGCGCGGGTTATATCGAATCTGTCAGAAACAACTGACGCGCTTTAATGGCGAACTCATGAAGGGAGGAGGGTAGGGAAGGGCAAAACATATTTGTTTATGTGTCTGCGCGTTTACGTGCAGCGCTATAAAATCTTCCCCGGTGTGCGCGAGAGCTCCGGGTTTCTCCTCCGAAAGCAATCGCGAGAGAAGGAGAAAGAACGGAGCTGTGCGAATCTCCTCCCGCCGCGCCGTGCTTTTTCTCAATTTTATTTGCACGCGGCTATTTATTTGTGTAGTTAGAAATTTCTATGAAGCCCGTCTCTTTCTTACTCGCTTGATCGTTCTGCCACCCCAAGCCGCGAATATACCGAACAATAAGTTTATGAGGTCTCACGATTGTCGCAGGGCTACGAGGAGAGGTAGTTGTCGCTTAGTCTTGCTCGTTTTTTACTCCTTCCTCTACGCACTCGGTACAACAAGCTATTTCACGGGTGTCAAGTCGCAGGAAAGTGAGAAGACGTAGGAAACCCACGCCAATCCCATTGCGCATCCGTCGGGAGCGGTGCGCCATCATTTACCATTCCGAAAAGGAAAAAGTTGGCGACTAAAACGCTACCGCCGCTATTTATTCGCTCTCCCCCGCGATCGCCCTGACTCCCTTATCCCTCGCAAGAGATATCCCGATACCCTGGTAACTGTTTGCCTTCCTCTGTGCGGGAAGGAAAAGAATACGGGGATTCTGGCGGCATAAGCGTCGAAGTTGCAACCCCCCGAGAGATTTTGTCGTCCGCGGAATACCATTTCGAGCGTGCTTTTGTTTCCAGCTTCTTGTTGCCGAGCACGTACATTTGTAATGGATTATTGAATGCTCGTGAGCCCCGCGATATACACACACTTCGCTTTAATATGTTTCTATTATAATATCTTTAACTTCCTCCCTCTTTCCTTTGTATTCACAAATCGAGTTAGACTCAATATCACATTTCGCTATATTTTGTTGTACCTATTGCCGTGTCATAATAAAATCCAACGTGTTCCTCACTGTTCAGAATCGAAAATTTGTGCTATTATCGAGTTGTTGGACTCAAATATTCAATTTATCACAGTGAAAAACTGTAAAGGATTGATATGTTCATGCTGCAGGCAGGCGAACGAAGTAAAACAATAAAACACGATATCGACGCGTATCGACAAATGACATTAATAATATTGTAACCAACACTCGAAGTATAGCGTAGTATTGTTGTTTATACGGATAACGATTGTTGTTTATCCTCGATTCATAAAATATTTCCGACGGGAATAAATGTATTTGTAAATATAGCGTTATATATGTGGGATGATACGAACCCTAAATAGATTCAATAAAATATTTCCCGAGAACCTCGCGCGCTTTTTAATATACGCAGGGCGTTTGCAAAGCAGATATAATTAAATATCCTCGCGATCCATCGTGGCCGCGCCGACAGTTTTAATACGAGACATCCATCACGATGTCTGTAAAGATGAGGGGTGCAAAAAAAGAAGCTGGTCGCTCGGTCGTGCAGAAAGTTGGCGCCTATGAGTTCCGAGTGAAGCGAACGCGCGCGCGCGCGTGCGAAAAAGAGAGTGTGTGAGAAAAAGAGAGAGAGAGAGAGAGAGAGAGGGAGAGAGAAAGAGACAGGACAACGCGGAAGATCGTATGATAAGAGAAGAAAAAGGGAGAAGGAACGTGTCCCATTTATCCAGCGTAGTCGCAGAAAAAGGATAGCGACAACGGGACGGCGGAGTGTGGTGGTTGGCTAGAAATGAATCGTTTTACTTACCGAGAATGAGGGAGGAAAGCGAAGTTTGTGTGTTCCTTACGGGATAAGACGGGCCGAGGCAGGACGGCCATTTATCTTGCTCGCGGTCGCGACTCGTCGGGAAGAGAGGAGATCGAACGTTTGCCAGGACGAATCCTTAATTTCCCGCGCGTCTAACCCACCTACGCCCTTCTTCACGTGACGTTCGATTCGCTCCCCGTTAAAAAAAAAAAAACAACAAAAAAAAATAAGAAAGAACAACAGCTGATCGTAGTGGTGATGCGGAGCCTATAGATTTAATAAAGAATAGAGTGCGCACTCTCGGAAATTACACGATGCACCATTTCATGCTTTCTTACATGCTGAGAACCGGCAATTCACTGCGGTTCACTGCGTGTATCGTGCATTGAAAGATTTATGCAGAGAACTGAGCTGCCTGAGTCAGCACGCACGTCAGAGGCCATGTGAAATGTGATGGCATGTCAAGTGTTTATGGAACGGCTGTTCTTTTCAGCCTGAACTGGTGCATAATGGTGCAATAAATTGGAACGAAACAAATATAATTTGTCCCATTGTAACTTTTTGCAGTTCAGGTATAGTTCAACTAAAAAAAACAAACCTGAAATGTATTTGCCTCACTCTAACTTATTACACCAATGTGCACCAGTTCAGGCCGTTCGGCTAAAAAGAACAGACCTATGATTGAAGATGACGATTGATGATGGCATCCGATCAATCGAGACCGCGTTAATCCGCCTGAGAAGCCATTCGTATTAGTAAAAGCTCGAGTTTCTTGGCATCTCTCCTGATATTGCACGCGGAAAATCGGGCAGCGAGTCGAGCTCGGCCTACCACACGGTATCGTAAAGTTAACGCTAATTAAACTTTACCGATAGTTGCGCGTCGGGCCATTCGCGAACTCTCTCCGAGCGGACTCCTTCTTAATCAGCCCGGCCACCCATATTCGCGGTCGGGGATGGTACACGGGGGTGCGAGTTATCATCTCAATACACAGCAGCCCCCGAACGCGCGTTCGCTTATTTCTCCCGGGCGCGCGCCTCGCCGCGAGATAATTACGATTCGCGCGCTTAACGATGAATTACCGTGCGCGAGCGAGCGCGCCCGCCTTCGCGATAAATTAGCAGAGCGGAGATTAAAATTGTCCCGCGATTTGGACCCGTCACAGATAGGTATGCGAGGAGACTTTAAAAACGCGCCTCGCCGCCATTGAAATCGGAGGGTGAAAAACCGTCGCGTTCTCGTTTCATGAATCCGAATTGATGATCCGCGATGATCCGTCATGAGACGGCGATTTTGCGGCCGCTGAATTATGAGACGCACCGACCAAAATACCCCATCGCGATTTGAAAGTAGCGAGTCGCGTGACTCGTTAAAATATCGGGTTGTGTTTAACAAATCGACTGCCGCGCTGATTTCCACTGATTGCTCCGAAGCTTTAACTAAAGCTCGGATGACCACAAATGCGGGTGAACGAATTAAATTTGTTGCGCCCCATTGATTACATCTTGCGCGCGAATCAGTGCTGTACTGAAGCACTGGTGGTTTCCTCGTCGCAGTTAACGTGTTCATTATTCTGCTCTCTTATCGCGTGTATTTCCTTGTTAGATTAGCAACTGTCTTGAAGCGCAGCGGCAACGTGACTCCCGAGTTATCATATATATTTAACATCTTGATGCTCGTCACGTCCTCCAGAGGAGAAGTCTTCCAATTAAACACTTTCCATTTTATACAAATTTAGAAAATAACAGACCCCGTACTCCCAGACGTCTTCTCCCTCTTTCTCTCTTTCTCTAGGTAAAACGGTCTTGCTCTTCAATTAGCGTCGGAAATGTGTAAAAGGAGAGACAAGGAAAGAGAAAGAGAGCGAGAGAACAAGGAAAGCCGGGAACGGTGGAGCGTTTAAGTTTGCAGTTGACGTACGTTAATAATTTTATACGCGCGGCGAGTCGCGGCTATTAAGTAATCAAATGCATTCTTTCCGCATGAATATTCAAGACGAAAGCGAGAGAAAGGGAGAGAGAGAGAGAGAGAGAGAGAGAGAGAACGCGCGCGAGAAGGTAATTCCATGCAAAGTGGAGAATTCCAAATCCGAATTAGCTGGCGCGCCACGCGAGTAGTCATCGTCGGTATAGAAATCGCGCTAAATTTCATCGCCGAGGAAGCTTCTTCTCCGTCTTACGCTTCGTTCAATTATCGTTGTTCAATTATCATCGAGATTTATGACAAAGAAATGTAAAAGAAAACGAGCGGACGAGGGCGCCGGGCGACGACGAC